TATTTTATATATGAATATTTCTGTTCAGTGCCCTGACACGACTTCTGGTGTGACTTGGCGCTTTATAAATAAACTGAACTGAATTAAATCTGATGAACCAGATTCTACAAAAACATTTATATTTAAATCTAAAAAAGTTAAGTCTGGTCCTCTGGACGTTCAAAAAACAAAACAAACAAAAAAAAAGGTAGAAAGTTTCTTTTTTCATCCAAAAGACTTCTTCAATCTGAGGAGCTGTATTCAGCTCATAGCTAGTTATAAAAGACTGAGCTGAACGCTGCTGGACAGGTCATCCGGAGTCGTAGCTCTGTGTGCCAATCAACAGCTGCTGTCTGCTTAATTCAAAACCATCACCTCGGAGCAGTTCGCTTGGAACCACGAACAAGATGGTGTCATAAACCAGGATAAGTGCGGGTGGGTACTGATGGTGGGCAGGCCCTTAATTGTTGCAGAATCAATGAGTGTAGAGACAGTGACAAAACAACAGTAGATGAACAATACATTGCACTAGTTAAAACATTAAAAAGTACACCTCAGATATATTTTTTCAGGTTTTGACACTTTACCTTATTGATTTGATCTACGTAGTTCCTACACTACTGGAATTCATTTTGGGGTGCTTAGAAGAATGATAATGGGACACCATTTTGTGCACAGAGTCGGTAAGACTTAAAAGCCCTACAAATCATGTTAACAGGGATGAACTTGTAATAGTTTTCTAATAAAAATCTGAGAAAAAATAGCTTTAACCTGCCTATCAAATTGTTCATCTTCTTTAAACTAAATTTCACAAAACATTTATTAAAGAGATTATCCTCATCGGCTCACACGGACTCATCTTTGTGCTATTGTCGTTTTTGCGCATTGTTTTTGTGCTATTAGTGCTTAGTGTATTCTTAGTCTGTGCATTGTTAGTTTAGTAAATGGACTGTACTTATACAGCACCTTTCTATCTTATTTCAAGACACTCAAAGCTCTTTACAACAATCTGTGCCTCATTTACCCATTCATACAGCTCTATACTAGATCTCTACAAAGGTAATTGAGCAAATCATTCTAAAGAGACCAATCAGTGCTTTACATCACATTCATACACTGATGGGACACACATCGGAGGTTATGAGGGGTTCAGGGTCTTGCCCAGGGACACTTCGGCATGTGACTGCTGGTGGATTCGAACCCCCAACTCTCGTATTGGAGGACGACTGCTCTAACCACTCAGCCACAGCTGCCCCGTTTCGTGAATGTAGTATATTCTTAGTTCATGACTTGGATCTTACTAAAGTTTTTCTTTACAATTTGTATTTTTGTTGGATGTAACTGGGACCCTGAGTACATAGTTTCGTCCCACCTCATGTATCACGTGTGCTATGTATGACAAATAAATCTCTTTGAATCTCTGAATCTGAATAGGTATATGTAATAAATAAATTACAACTATCCAGATTCAGCTAGAAACTGTGTCAGAATGTGAGACGAGAACTCTGACATTTTACTAACAGATAAAAACAGACAACTGAACAAATAATACTAACCTGTTCCCATAATTGTGCTGACAGAGGCCACTTCATTAAAGGTAGCATAATTTGGCAGAATTGTCTGGATGGGAACTTCATCCGCTGCACTGCGGATGTCTGCCTCCTCACAAAGATGGCGAAAACAGGACATGGCCACCAGGACTGCCTCAGTATCAGGGCTCCACAGAAACATGTAGAGACACACCTCCAGCTTGGTTTGGGCCTTCCGACAAATGGGAATGCCACTACCCATTGCTGCACACTCCTGAAACCAAAATTCAACAGAAACTCTGTCAAATATGCAGCTATGAAACAATAAAAATAGCAGAAACCCTGGCAACATGTTTCTTACAGCCATGTGCAACTGTCCGATAGTTTCAAGTAGAGGTGGTTCAGTCTTACCCAAGTGTGTAAAAGTTATACATATTTTATCTTATCTGTTGTAGATAGCTTGTTGCACCTTAATTTGAAGAAAGTGTGATTCTGACAAGACTGGTGAGCCAATAACAATCAAAACATATTAGATTTTTATACATTTTGTTTACATAGAAATGTGCTTTATAATGATCATACATTTTATGTTAAGATGTACCAGGTCTTTCAGTTTTGCAAGATTTATAAAACAAAATCAAGTACTGGTAATATTTTTCTCACATTGTGCTACACCAGGGGCGTCCAACCCTCATCCTTGAGGGCCACTATCTTGCAGGTTTTAGTTTTCTTTGCTGCAACACACGATTTGAATCAATGGGAAGTTAACCGGCCTCTGCAGAACAGAACTCTGGCTGCCCTGTCTGTCAATCAAGTGACACATTTCATAGTGAGGATGGATGATAGGCTGACGTCTATTTTATTAATGCCATTCAATCTACCCATAATACCTTTGCAATTGACGTATCGGGCACCCCTTCTCTAAAACATACAGGATAGTGACATTTGCGAACCAGGCTTGGACTCCCCTGTGCTACACATATTTGTTCAAAATTAACATTAAGAACATAAGTTGGTCTCAATTGCTATTGGACAACCACCACAAGGACTGCTTGACTGAGTGTTACCTTCATCCTTCACTGTTTCAAAACCTGCATCACATGTTAATATCCTATGAGTGAAAGTTATCCTGTCATGGGTAAGAGCCTAAACCTTACCTTGTTCTTCAGCAGAAACTTATTCCTGCAAATGAGGATCTCCCTCAGCCACTTTAAAACATCTGTCCCATTAACCATCTGCTGGCCAATTAGTCTGTGGCAGATGAGGGAAAGCACCTGAGAACTGACAAAACAAAAAACAAAAGACTTGTAAATCTCTGAACAATAAAAAGATCTCTGTGGTTGCTGCATTAAACAGGGCATGGTATTTGAAACAATATGCACAACTGAATTTCAGTAAACAGAAATAAATAAAACATTTGTTTTTAATTATTCACATTCTTGTGTGCTAAAGAAAAATAGTCAATAAAATGTCTAATAGTACACCTTTATTAATAAAGTTGGAATAATGTGTAAAAAAGATAAATGAAGCTGATTTACATATATATATATATATATATATATGTAATGGATCAACAAAAAAAATGCAC